ACTGAGTGTGAGGATGATTGTAATACCTCTAATGTTTGCTTTGTGTGTTTGGATTGCAAGCTCTTTGGCCCAAGGACTGTGTCTCATCATGTATTTACACAGATCCCAGCACAGCGGGTCACTGGTCTCAGTAGGGGCCTCCAATCTCAAGTGATAATAATGAACTGGCTTTCTTCTAAGTGTTATTTACCCGAACAATACTGTGTTGCATTGTGCAGCATTGTTTTTATTAATATTTTTTTTCCGTTCAAATGAAATAAAAACATTGTCCACTCAAAGACTGAGGAACAATATGAGTGCTCATCTCCTGCTGGGAAATAAAGATTCAAAAGTTTCAAATACCAGTGCTTCCTGCCCCCTTTAGTCACTTTGAGGACTTGTGTCTGATAATAAAATGCTTTAAATCCATTTTAAACCTTGTCCAGGCTGGCATTCCGTGTCTGGATCTTAGCAACCCAACAAAGCTTGCTTTGAAAGTCTCTTAGAGAGGCAACCCCCAGTTCATGTAGTTGATACTTATGTGAAGAAGCCCAATTTATTTGTATAACAGCTGCTTGAATGCACATTTGCAGAATATATCCCAGCATCTTTTAAAACATGTGATTTAACTTTAAAGCTGAAGAAGTCTTTAGGAAGAGTGCAAACCAACCTGTTCTTTTGAACTAAAAGATACATTTTATTTAAGGAAAAAAAAACCTGGAAGACGACCGAGAATCTCTCCACTAAACTCATTTTGTTGGAAGCAAAGATTTTTTTTTCCATGCACTTGTATGTGAAAGGTCTGTATATTTTCTGTTCTGCTGAGCAGCATTGTTAGAAGTTGATTGTGCATGTAGCTATGTGCAAGATCTCTCTGTCTTTAGTATGGTGAGATGCTAGGAGAGGCATTTTGGGTCTTATCTGGTTGTTTTGCAAAGCATACAAACAGAGTTTCTCTCAATTCAAACTACATGATGAGAAGTGAATGCTTCTACTTTAAAAATGTAGATCAGCAATGAGGTCTTCAGCATGAAACCGCCCGATGTAGCCAAGGCATAATTTTATTATCCCAGATGAAAGACAAATATGACCTCATTGTGTTTTGTATGAAAAACATTATTTTGAGTCTGTCTGGTTCCTGCAAGCTTGCTGAGCTGTGTTATTCAGTAATGTTTGGCATATGATAACTTTTTCTGAGGCTGGTGTGCAGAAAGAGAGAAAATAAGGCCAGGTTGGAGCTGCCATCAATTTCCATGGTTTTATTCTTGCCCTTTGAATTCTTTGTCAGACAGTGGCAGTCTGCTGCAGTACAACTCCAGTTGTTTTGTGCAAGCACATCCCAGCTACAGTGTCAGTTCTCTTCCAGAGTGCTAAAAGACGTAGGTTGTGTTTAAAGGCTAGAAAGGTCTGGCCTTAGCTGCTGGGACACTGGCTTTTTCTTCTTTGATCTATTATAAGAGGTGATATTCTTTAAATCAGTTATCTTAATGAGAGCAAACTTGCCAGCACTGACAACAGAGCATTTTCTTAGGTAGATCCTCACAGATGTGTGAGCAGCCCCACGCACATCCTTCTGTGTGGGGGTTGCCTGGGCATAAACCACTCCAGGCAAGGAGCTTTGTCGCTGCAAGAGTCTGGTGCAGGTTTATGTGCCCTGCTACAAAGGTGCATTAATTCCCTGCAGGATCTGGGCCGCAGGGGACGCGGCTGATGCCCCACCAGCTCAGCACAGCCATGGGCCCTGCCACTCTCTGCAGGACCGGGATGTGGCGGGCAGCCGTATGCCCAGCCCTGAGCTGTCGGAGAGGCTGCTGAGGGTTAAACATCTCTTCAGCCTCACGGCCAGCTCTCTGCTAGGGTTGTGGGAAATGGAGTTTTCAGCAAGGGTGAAACATTAATGTTGCCATGTTCACTTCCATTTTGGGGTGAAAACAGAAAATAGTAGTGAAACAGATGAAGTTCACAGATTTAGGAAAAAAGTCATTTCTAAATTTCAACTTCATTGTTCTAATAATTCCATAAATAACATTTTTTTTCAAGGCTGGCGTTTCATTTTGGTGTTTTAGAATGGAATTTTCATGTTTGCCTCCTCAGTTTGGGAATCCTTGAATTTTTTTTTCCCTATTTTTTTCTTATTCTTTCTTCTTGGAAACAATTGTAATGAAGTAGGAAAACTTGGTTTTCATCTACTTTTAGTGTTTTCAAAATAGAAAATATAAGACCAAAATTACAAGATATCTTTATCAACGATCTGGACAAGGGGATCGAGTGCACCCTCAGTGAGTTTGCAGATGACACCAAGTTGGCCGGGAGTGTAGAAGATCTGCTGGAGGATAGGAAGGCCCTACAGAGGGACGTGAACAGGCTGGATCGATGGGCCGAGGCCAACTGTATGAGATTCAACAAGGCCAAGTGTTAGGTCCTGCACCTGGGTCACAACAACCCCATGCAACGCTACAGGCTTGGGGAGGAGTGGCTGGAGAGCTGCCTGGCAGAAAAGGACCTGGGGGTGCTGGTCAACAGCTGGCTGAATATGAGCCAGCAGTGTGCCCAGGTGGCCAAGAAGGCCAATAGCATCCTGGCTTGTATCAGAAACAGTGTGGCCAGCAGGACTAGGGAAGTGATTGTCCCCCTGTATGGGGCACTGGTGAGGCTGCACCTCGAATCCTGTGTTCAGTTTTGGGCCCCTCACTACCAGAAGGACATCGAGGTGCTGGAGCATGGCCAGAGAAGGGCAGCGAGGCTGGGGAAGGGTCTGGAGCACAAGGCTTAGGAGGAGCGGCTGAGGGAGCTGGGGTTGTTTAGTCTGGAGAAGAGGAGGCTGAGAGGAGCCCTTATTGCTCTCTACAGCCACCTGAAAGGAGGTCGTAGCCAGGTGGCTGTCAGTCTCTTCTCCCAAGTAACAAGCGATAGGACAAGAGGAAACGGCCTCAAGCTGCGCCAGGGGAGGTCTAGATTGCATATTAGGAAAAATGTCTTCACTGAAAGGGTTGTCAGGCACTGGAAGAGGCTGCAGGGAAGTGGTTGAGTCCCCATCCCTGCAGGTATTTAAAGATCGGATACATGTGGTGCTTGGGGATGTGGCTTAGTGGTGGACTTGGCAGTGCTGGGTTAACTGTTGGAATTGATGATCTTAAAGGTCTTTTCCAATCTAAATGATTCTATGATTCTATTAATTGAAAGGCAAACTCCCCTACAAACACATTCACTTTTTCTCCACTGTTCTGTTTCCTTGTTTACTGTAAAAAAGAAGTGAAAAATGTATTTTCTTATACTTTCTTGAGCTTCACTGAAAAGGAGGGATAAAGAAAGAAAAACAAGTGCACAAATGGTTTCCAAAAATAATGACATTAAATACAAAGTTTAAGATCCATTTTTTTTTTAATTCAGCAAAGTTTAGTTTTCCATACTACTTTTGGAAATGCTCGTATTTTATTTAAAAGTATCTGTTCTTTTGATTTACCTGTTACTTCCAGTTGAAATTTTTTAAGTAGCTCTACTTGAGTCAGTTGAGTGAAGAGCCTCTAGAAGAAGGAAAAAAAGAAGTATATGCACTTAATGAGCAACAAAGTTAGTGATCTGTAGCAATTACCCAAGTGAGTAATTTTGTTTCATTAATGCACCCTAAAGCACCAAGCTGTTTTGTCAATGGGCACTGCAGGGCCATTGCAATGCTCAAAGAGACAGTTATGTTACCAACCGCGGTGTAAGGGATAGGTTTACCAACAAGGAGGGAGAGAGAAAGTAGCTTAGGGTAAGAAGAAAATTAAAGACCATCTATTATTGTCACGGAAGCCAATGGCAATACTTGTAAAGACTCTAGCAGAGCAGGGTCATACATCAGTTTTTTCTGGCTTTTCCAACTTCTAGTTTCTTGGTTGCTGTGGTTTTTTAAGAGGGCATGTTGATGCACATAGCGTCTCAGTTTGAAAAGGGAAGGAGGGCATGTACCTGGCTTACTTGAATCCTTCTCAGAGGAAAGCAGAAAAGCAGATAGCAGAAATGAAGGCAAAGCTGTATTATAACTTCTGGGCATCTCTGGATCACTCAATATGGGACACACACACAGCATATGTTATATTAAGGTGAAGTATTGAATATCCATAAAGGAGTACTAGCAAATGGTGTCAATTTTCAAACACTTTCCTTTGTCAGCTTCACAAATTTAAAATCAATCATCAAAAAGTCTCTGTACAGATCAGCTGAAGAGACATAAAACCTTATGGTTATCTCCCTGACAAAAAAGTTGAAATTAAAGATGAGTCTATAAAGACTCAGACTGGCAGAATTCCGTAGTGCTAAAAACTGGGGTCATCCAACCTCTCAGTTTAGAAATGAATGCTGAGGAAAAACAATGACACCCAGTGCACTGCTAATAAATACATCTTAGAGGACAGTTGAACACGCAGAAAAATAGATTTCACAGAGAGGCTTATTTTCAGCATGAATGCTATTTTCTCACTGCGTTATCATAAACATGAGAGAAAAAACAGCAATAAATAAAAAATTCTTGGGCAGTCCCTGGAGACTTGTCAAAAATATGTAGTTTTTGTACGCTGCAGTGTAAAAGTATTCATTAAAATTAATTTTTAAAATGCCCTGTCCAATATTAGTTGCCTGATGTCCTTCCTTTGATCATAAATTATTAATGAACCGGCAAAAACTGAAGAAACCATGATTCCATTAATGAATTATTTAAGTGTGATTGTTAGTTTTCACAATCATTGGGCTAATAAGCTCAGGCTTGTGACACTGAAGTGTTTCTCATTTGAGGGTGGTGATGATGGTAATGTTATTAACACCATTATCAGTGTGCCCCGTGAAGCAGAAACCCAACCCGCTCCTTTGGTGGCTACGTGGTGGCATGGCTGCTGGAGCTTTCCTTGGGTCTGTACTGCAGGAGAGGGAGTTGACACTGAGGAAAGTCGGTGTGAACAGGGTTCGCTGGGTGGCTCCCGCCAAGGCAACACTTTAAAAAAAGACAAGGAGCATACTGACACGAGAAGATCTTCTCCCCACAGCAGCCTGCCAGTGCCAGCAGCACACACAACCGGTTTGGCCCATTCCAGCGGTGGCTCCGGGAGCTCCAGCGAGTCCGAGAGCAGCTCTGAGTCCGACTCTGACAGCGAGAGCAGCTCCAGTGACAGCGAGTGCAACGAGGAGTCACGCAGTGCCACGCCGGAGGTAAGGCCACGCTCTCGGCTCCTCCCCAGTGGGGGGTCAGAGGGGAAAGCGTGGAAGGGAGTGAAATCCTGCTCCCTGGTAGGAAAATGTTAGAGTTCTGTGCTGTTTGATGCTGTCGACTTTTTTCTCCCTTTACAGTTTTATGTGTATGACCCACATACTCATTCTAGCTTTTGGAAGAATCCTTCTGGCCTACATTTGAATTGCTTTAAAGAAATATTTAGATTTTTGCCAGTAGCTAGAGAAGATTTTATTGACACAGTATTCAGTTGGGACTAAGGAAAGGCAACATGACAAAACTATGTCTTCAGGGACCAGCTAAACTTTTTAGTTGTATTAAATTTCTCCAGGGCCACATTGTAAACCAGATAAGGAAGCCTAATTAACCATAAATACTCCATAAATACTCCCATAAAACTAGCAGTCACCACTAGTTGACTGAAATAAAAGGGTACATTAAAAACATTCTCATTTAAAGGGAAAAGCATTGCTTCTGTCTGAGATTTGTTCCTTGTCATTCTTCAAACTGCAGCCTGAACCTCCCTCAACAAACAAATGGCAGCTGGATAAATGGCTAAATAAAGTGAACCCCCACAACAAGACCATCATCAACAATCAAAATGAGCCTCACAGCGAGACCAGCTCCCAGGCCCAGAGCAACCAGCAGGCCGAAGGGCCAAACAAAGGGAAGCTCAACAGCAGCCTGCCCCCGACCGATTCCAAAGACCGGGCAATCCTTAGTCCCATCCGAGAGAAAGCCAAACCGCGGGTTGCCCAGAAAACGCCAGAGGCAAAAAGCTCCAAGCAAAAGTCACCAGCTCATAATGAGCCAACTTCACAAAGGACTACTGGGAAAAAGCAACCCAAAAAGGTAGAAAGGACTTCCAGTGTAGAAGAGTATAACTGGCCCAAACCAAATAATACCAGCAACACTCCCAAAGAAAAAGACACACAGGAACCCCCCGAGCAGCCAAAGGTTCGAACTAAAGCAGCAGTTGGGAAGACCGCTCCAAGGAAAGAACCACGAACTAGCACAGGTCTCACTTCAGAGAAGAAAAAGTACAGAGGCCCCAGCAAAATTGTCCCTAAGTCCCGGGAATTCATTGAAACGGATTCATCTACTTCTGACTCGAATACCGACCAGGAGGAGAGCTTGCAGGCTAAGGTATTGCCAGCTTGCACTGGGTCTGGCAATGGCGTCAAAGTGAAGGACTCTGGCAGTAACATCCTCAGCGTAAGTAGTTTAACTAGCAATGGCAGCAACACATCCATTGACCAGACCAGCAATGACTTGGAGGAGCAGCTCTTTTCTCCTATCCCAATCGTACAAAATGAACTTCTGTCCCCACTGAGAGAATATGAAGAACTCAAATCTCTGTGGGTGAAAATAGACCTTAGTTTACTCTCTAGGATACCTGGACAAGAGCCTTTTGAGACCACGTCTGTGAAAAGTGAACCAAGAGAGGCAAATGTGAAACACAGACGACCATCTCGAGAGTCCCCTACCCCAGCAGCCGAAAAAACATCCACAAAATCCAAAAGGAAACACAAGGTAAGTAGTTTTCATTGTTCGGAGGAAAACACTGAATTTCGATGCATCCTCGAGGTCAGGACTGCAGTCAGTGATTTCTCACTGCACCTGCAGCAGGGCTCTATGGAGGCATCATAACACTAAGGTTTTATTGTTTTTAGAAAGGACATACATTTACAAGTGCATTACAAATTAACATCAGAAACTAGTAAAAAACGAACTCCAGCCGACAAAATCAATGAACAATGTCTTTTTTTGAGATTTGTCGTACAAGGTTTTTCACTGTATTTGCTCATTTACCCATTAATTTCCAGTGTTCTGTAATCTGCAGAAAGATTCCCAATGACGAGTTCATATTACTACAGGTTCAACCATACGCAGAAAGTGTGACTTCTGTTTGGAAGGCACCATTTTGTTGTCTGCAGAATTAAGGCATTTTCACCACTGGCTTAAACAGGCATAGCTTCATTAAAGTCAATGGAATGGGGCTTGCTTATTTTCCTGGTGAATTTAGTCTTTATATTGTTTTGTTGTATAAACGAATGTGATTCATAGAAATATCATTTGCTTAACTAGCTGCTTTCTCTACACAGCTACCTGAAAAAGCAAATATATTTTGACTTTACGTTTTATCATGTGGTTTATGTTATTTATGCCCAAGGGTGTCCTATCTTGTGGGATATGACAGTGCACTTCAAACTAAATGTGTTTCCAGAAAAGAAACTGAAGTTTTATATCATAAATGAATTTTTGTAGTCACTTTTTCCAGCTGAAATGGTTGTGCTCTGGTCTGTGTGTGAGAAGTTCATCATAGCGTATTTTTTTTTATACCCCAAATTTTATGAATCATTGTGAATGTGGCTTCAGCTGTCTGTTGCAGTGGACTTCGTGAAAATCCTGAGGTTGAGCAGTCCAGTGGTACGAGAGAGTTAATACAAGACAAAGACAGACAATGCCAGGCAGACACAGGGTCTGCACCCCTGCCTACATGAGTCACTGCACTGGCTCCTTCCCTGTTGAATTAAGTGGAAATAATGACATGAGTAAACTCAGCAGGTTTTTATTCAATTTATATTCTAGCTGTACACTAAAGGCAGAGATGTAAGAAGGAAGGAGAAAAGGAAGAGGAAAGGGATGTATAAATGTCCATGCTTATGTGTATGTATAAGTACACCAGGGTGTATATTAATTATACAAAAAACCTTCTTGCTGGGTAACCTAGTGGAGTCAGTACGATGGAGAAGGAATCTTGGCTAATACACGAGTATAGTATTGGCAACTAAACTGAGGGTTTCCCAGGGGAAAAAAAAAAGGGTTATATGGAAGTTGAAACCTTATAATTTCATTAGCTGGGACTTTGAATCAGAAAGTAACAAAATAAGGAATCTCGCTCCGGGACTGTACAAACATAAGCTACACTCTGAAACAGCCCATTCAGTTGCTGTATGATTGTTCACTGCTACCCAAGGGGAAACAAACCAATTAGGACGACTTGAGGGTATATCAACAGTTAAAACAGGGTAGGGAGAGCCTGATTTGTGTTTCTAAATCGTGCTATTAAAAGATTTATTTTAGCCATCTACTAGTGGGCTTGAAGGCTGATACGAAGGTTCCAGTGACAGAGCAGTAATCAGCTTTGCTTGTATCATCCTAGTTCAGGCACAAAAGTCATGCATCAGGGAATCTTTCAAAGCAAATTTTAAACCAGCTATCGCTGTTAATGACTACCCCATCTCAATCCTGTAGTTTTTTAGTCCTGTGAGGAATACTTACTCAGGGAAGTTTTCCCATCAACTTCCATTAAGTCAATGAGTAAAAGCTATTTAGTTGAGTAAGATTTGGTGCTATCAAGCCATTCCATCTGAATTATTAATTAAATTCCAGTGCACTACAGAAGATAACTATAGCACGTGAGGCATTTTGCTTCCTAATTATCTGGCTATGTCACTTGTTATATAACTTCATGTCATGTGTTTGGAGCACGTTTAGCCCTGATTTCAGGTGACTTTCACTTCTCTTAGACTAGGATTTTAACTGCTGCTAATGTAAAGGAAATACACTGAGATTCCTGAGCTCCTCTTAATGGCAAGTGAAATTGTGTATACAAGTTGGATCTTTCAAGCTCTACCTTTTTTGTTAAAGCAGACGGAAAGCCTGGATACCTTTGTTGAAAGCAAAAAGCAGCGCCTGGAGGACCCTTCAGCTTCATGCCTGCTCCCACCTTGCATCTCTCCGATACCGAATCACAGATTAACCAGCACTAAAGAGTAAGTTCTTTTTTTTTCACGTAACATTCATGAGGGATTTCACGGTACTGTTCTACAAATGTCTTTGCTGTAGAGCCAGATGGGCTTTACAGCCCATAAGCATAAGTGACCCAGCATTGCTATTCCCATCCATCAGGGAGAGGAACCACATGGTTTTGGATGAGATTCATTCATCCTTCTGATGGACTACAGGAATTCAGAGTGCCACCACAATCCTGGTGTACTCTTCTATCCCCATACTGCATTCTTTCAATGTTCTTTCTTGCCCCCATCATCCTTAACTTCTATGGCCAGAGAATCCTACTAAAAGTGGGCTTTATTTGATTGCCTGGAATTTATTTTTTAAAATGGTTTTCGTAAGAGACAGATCTGAGTTTTATTAAACGAAATAGTGACTTTGCCATTCACTTCAGCAGCTCTTATTCTTGAACTGTGTATACAGCAATGCCAGTGGTGACCATCCTAAATGTTTCAGACATACATGCTTTGTATTTCAGCAGATGTATAATCAAATAGTTTGTGCCTTTCAGAGTGTCTTTGAGACATGGCTATAATGCTTGAGCAAACAGGCGCCATGTAAATAATGATTCTGATTAGTATAATCACAAGATTAACATTCTATAAATAACCAAAGAGTCCAGTTCCCTTCTGTCATCAATTTTGTGCTTTTACGATTTTGAGATGAAGCACTTCTTTCTGCTTTGCACTAGGACAAGCAAAGAATCTAACCCACAATGTGCTTCTGAAAACAATTTGATTGTAGTAGTATTTAAATTTCAATAAAGTTCAAAAGTCATCTGTGAAATAGGACACAAATTTTAAAATCCATAAAGAAAGTTGAGGATCATTTTATTTATACTGGTGTAATTACGGAGTGACTTCAGTCCTTGAACTAACCCCTCATTCTCCCACTGAGAAAATCAGGGTTGGAGTCTGGAAAAGGCAGACGAGTTGAAAGTTACAGTGTGCTCTGTAACATGTTGCACATTTGATAAACATCATGATGGGTGTTGCCCGATTGTCATTGCTAGAAATACAGTGAGCAGAGATATATTGCAGAGGGAATCAAGGATTATCCATCCCCAACACCTCCACAATCCATTAAAAAAATCTTTCTATTCTTGTTGCCAGCAAGCCCTAAGGATCCACCCCCAACCTGATGTTTCTTAATTTGAGTTTGTTTTCCAGGTCATTAATTTGATTCCTCGGAGCTTTCAAGCCTTTGGTTTTCTCTGTTAAAATATAATTGTGTCCATCAATAGTTATTTCCATATGCTAGCCTTTCCTCTCATCTGCCTCAAGTTTTGAAACAAAATTTTCTGACTTCTTTTGCGCTGCAGTGATGGAGACCTGGATCACACTGCATTTGTTATTAATGTCTTCTGAGTTCACTTGAAACAAATGCAATATTGTTTGATAATTCAGGTCTTCAACTCTCAGAGACGTGCAACTGAATATAGATCAACGTATTTCCCAAAAGATTAGGGAGCTGGCTGAACTGTGTGATGACAAGTTTCTGGAGAGCCCAAGATTGTTTTTAAGCAGTCAGGAGTGGTTCTGTTCTCCAGAGGGTTAAGTAGAGTTTTAAGGGGAGGCAGAAGAAGGAGGCAGCTGAAAGTACACTGTTCAACAGCATGGGGGAAAATAACACTTCAGTGGTAAAAGGTTGAAAAGTAGGCTTTGCCATTTGCTCCTTTATTCCCAAAGGTCCTACGTTTTCTTTCAGAACTCCTAAGTCTCTACATAAGGACTTGGAGAAATGAGGGTGATTCTGCTACAGGTGTGATGATGATGTTCATCCATTAAGAAGGTGTTACTTCCCACGGTGGATGTTCTCACTCAGGAGAAACCATAGGTCTCTCCCGTTAGAACTTGATCCCTGTGCCAACAAGCCAAGTTCCCCAAGGCAGACTTCAGAAACTTTCATTAAGCTTTTTTATAGATACAAGAGTGTTTTGACAGAAAGACCGTGATCTCTGGGCCAAAATTTGGAGGCATTCTGGAGTCTGGAGGAATTGGTGAAAGATAGGCCACACCTGTGCTTCTGCAGCTCCCACTGGCTGCCTATCTATGGTTTAGGCATTTGAATTCTT